GGGCTAGCGAAAATACCCCCTAGGGATGAGGACCACCCTGGACAGTAGCCTCTGAGTCGGCTTGGGGAAGGGCAGTAAGAGCGGGCTTGCGGCAGGAAGCACCGCCTCTGCTGAGACTGTAGCAGACATGGTCTCTCCGCCCCAGGGTCTCAAGAGTCTGGGACCCATCCCGCAGTGCCAGTCAGGAGGGGGGACGAGGAAGGGGGCTGCAGGCAAAGAACAGGGGCCCTGGAGTGTCCTGATCAAGGAGTATGGACTGCTGTTGAGTCTTTCATTCATTTATACACTCCACCATGCTGTGGGCACTGACTGAGTGTCCAGCTCTGCTCAGCACTCGGCCCTCAGAGGTAAGAAAGACGAGGCTGTGCCATCGAGATGCTCAGGGCCTGGTGGGGACAATCGACCCAGGCCTCCTTCCCTTGGAGGCTGGGCACAGTCACCATCGGGAAGGAGAGGAAGGGAGCTCCCGTCACTGGGCTCCCCACACACATGCCATGCCTCAGGCGACCCCAGACTTTGTTGTCTGGGCAGCCTGGCCCGGCACAGCCTTGTGCTGAGGCCATAGAGCAGGACGTTCCACTGGCTGAAGGGGGCGTGGGGCACCGGGCCCTGCGCCAGACGGTTCCCCCTGGCTGCCGTCACCAGGCATGGAGGGGGCTGGGGAGTGAGGCTGCAGGGCAGCCTGCACGGACGTGAGAAGGACTGACTGGTCAGGCCCTCAGCGCCCTGCCCTGGACGCCTGGCCACCTTAAGGCCTCCAGCTGCTGGCAGGCTCTCTGCCCCACCCTTGCCCACCTGGCACCTGTCCTGTGGCTTGGCTGCAGACTCCTGTTTAATGAGGCTTTTCCCCAGTTCCCAGGGAAGGCTGGTAGACAGGGTGAGCTCCTTGTCCACAAGGCAACGCCCCCCAACCCTCCCGACTGCCCGTCATGCACATCCATGCTGGGCCAGAGTCTAGCCTGAGCTGGATTCTGCGGTTTCCTAGGCCTAGCCTGAGCTGTGCTGCAACCCGGGGCTTAACCATTATGGCCAAGAGGGTCAGCTCTAGCCCTCCCTCAGGGCTTCCTGGCCAGAGCTAGCCCTCCTCGGGGAGATTGGTTTGTTGAGAAGCCTGCTGTGGAGCCAAACCCAGCCTCCCACCTTGCTGTGGGCAGAGTGGGACTCCGGACTGCCTTCCTAGAGCTGGCACCTTGGACCCCAGACTCTGCTCCTGAGACTTCCTGGGGTCAGAGCTGACCACTGCAGCAGCCAGGCCGACAGCCCTGAGGGCCAGTGAGCCAGAGCCGGAGCCACGGTTAGATGGCAGGGCCTTCTGTGAAGTAGATGAGACTTGGAGATCCCGTGGTCTGGAGGGACGTGTGGAGGTTGTTCATGCCACCTGCAGGGCCGGGGCTTCAGGAACGGTGGAATGCCTGCTAGTAGGCAGGGTCCCCGGTTCCCGAGGAAGTGGGGCCCTGAGGCTCAGTCTCCCTGACTGCCATGAAGCCTGGTCAGGGCTGATGCTGTCTGGCTGCCACTGTCCTGGGAACCTGTCAGAACAAAAAGGCCCCAGAGGTTTCCAGAAAGCTTCCCACCTTCATAGGCCCTCGGCTGCTGCTCCCCAAATTTCTAGGATTACAGCAGGATCTTTGCATCTGTGACCAGTGAGGTACGCATGGCTGATATTCTCATCCTCGTTTCACAAGGGGCTAGCTGGCCCAGGAGCCTGTAGTGACAAGGTCAATGCAAAGGTCAGCAAGCCTAGAGGTGGGCTTCCTGGCCTACTTCACATCATGGCACACTTAAAAATGACCCCTGGAGGAACTGGAAAAGGAGGCTGGAGGCCGAAGCACCCATGGGAAGTCCTAGGCATACAAGCAAGGAGAGGGCACGCTCGTGGGGTTAGAGGGGGAGTGGGGGCCTGAACATGTATAGCTGTGGAGGCCCAGGGAAGGCCGCTGGTGGCTCCAGGCAGAGGAATGACATGATCTGATCTATGTGGCTGCCGGGTGGACAACTGGTTGAGGGCGCAGGAGGCTGCTGCATCTTCCAGGTGAGAGGTGACTGCCTTGGACTGGCTGGGGCACCGGGAGGGAGGAGGAAGTAATTGGAGTCTAGATATATTTTGAAAGCAGAGCCATTAAGATTTGCTGACAAATTGGATGTGAGAGAAAAAGAAAAGCCAAGGATGACTCCAAGGTGTTTGGTCTGAGCAACTGGAAGGATGCCATTAACTGGAGGAAGATGGAGAGGAGGGTTTGAGGTGGAAGTCAAAGGTTCTGCTTTGGACGTGTTGAGTTTGGGTAGCATTTTAGACCTCTGCATAGAGTTTCTGAGTAGGCATTTGGAGAGTGGAGTTCTAGGGGAAGTGGGGGCTGGAGATATACATGTGGAATCTTCTGATGAAGACACTTAAAGCCATGAGCCTGGATGAGAGCACCCTGAGAGGAGCCGAGAGCCAATTTCAGGTCAGATCAGGAAAAAGATGAGGAGAGAAAGGAGGCTGAGGAGGAGTAGCCTGTGAGGTTGGAGGCACATCAGGCGAGTGTAGCATTCTGGAAGCTAGATGAAGAAACTTTTTCATGGAGGAGGGAGAAATCAGTTGTGTCCCAAGGCTGCCAAGATGTCGGGTAAAATGAAGACTGAGAATTGCCTACTTTGTTCAACAGCGTACAAGTCACCGGGGTCCTTGACAAGAGTCAGCTGGTGAAATGATAGAGCAAGAGACGGGCTGGGTTGGCAGGACGAGAGCTGAGAACTGCAGGCAGTGAATGGGGACGGTTCTGCTGAGGTTTGCAATAAAGGGAGTGAGACATGAGGTGGTAGCTAGGGGGATGTTTACAGGTGGGAGAAATGGCAGCCTGTTGGTACCCTGGTGGGAATGAGTCTGGGCTTGCAAAATGCTGGGCGCAGGACCTGACGTGTGGCAGGTACTCGGTATATGGAGGATTTCACATGAGGCCACAGACCCAGCCCTCTCCTCTTGCCAGCCACCTGCAGGCCTGAGGAGCCTACATTCCACCCGCCATTCCCACACACACTCTCAACCTGTCACAGTTATATCGGGTCAGTGCTGGGAGTGGCATGAGCCTCCCCAAGCTCGCTCAGGCAACAGGGAAGCCACAGAACCCAAGCCATGGTCCTGTCATCCTCTTCCCCAGGTGATGCTGCCAGTGGGCTGCCAGGAGTGCCTGCCATCTCCAGGCAACACCCCTTTGACATAATCAGGACAGTGTCTGGCTCATGTGAGGCCTGGCACCAGAGGGCCAGGGAAGCGCTGAGTGGCATTTCTCCTGCACCTGTGAAGGCTTTTCAGCCTGTGAATAAGGGGCTTCTTACATGTTCCTTCTTCACTACCTAACATCTGAGTAATTGATCTCTTTGGTATTATCTGGTTTTATCCTCACAACAACCCCATGATCAACTCCGTTTGGCAAGGAAATGGATGCTCAGATACTATAGTAAGTCCTTGAAGGCCACACGATAGAACTAGGATCTGAACCTGGTCAGCCCCACTCTTGATCAAGTTCACGGTGGAGAGCCCTCTCTTGGGCTGACAGAGGGAAGCGTTCCTGCCTTGCCCCAGGAGGCCAGGAGGGGGCTCTAGTCAGAAGTAAGGCATCAGGCTCCGGAAGGGGCTGTGGTGCCAGCCTAATCTACACCAGCTACAAAGGAGCCACCGCTACCAAGACATCAGCTCGTCTACCTGAGGATCAAGGAAGGCTGATTAGCCCTGGTGCGTAAGGTTGCTCCTGGTGGGCAGATGGATGAGCAGAGGACAGACAGGTGGCAGTGGCAGCACCCTCCCCGTGCCCTGCGGAGAAGTGTGCAGCCTGTAGCCTAGCCTCACGCTTCCCTGGAGGCAGGAATGTGGGAAAGATGGCAGCCAGGGCTGTTGTTGGGAGGGGTGGGAGCCTGTGCCCACCTGGGAGCCTCCTACCCAGCCTCCCTGGACCCCAGCAGCCAGTGCCAAGGGATCTGTGCCAGTCCTGCTCACCATGAGCTACCCCTAGCTTTCCACACACCTGGTGATAAGGGATCATGCACCCCAGCCGTGACATAGGAGAGGAAACTGAAGCCGAGATGTCGGAGCCTGGCTGAATTCACCCAGTGGGAAATGTCACCCACAGGATGGGAAGGAGCCCAGGCCACAGCCTGTCATTCCTGTCTAACACCCAAGATGTCCCGTTTCTCCTGTGCCATGGTTCAGAAGTTACTCATCTGTGCGCCCAGCAGTGGCCCCACAGATAAGACTTTTCTGAGTAGAAGCTGGGGCTCAATTGTAGCTGATGTCTGCAGGTGTGTGCTGAGCAGGTGTGTGCTGAGGATATGCGGGGCTGGGCTTTGGCTCTGAGCAGCAGCTCCCTGTGGCTGGGTCGCGTGGGGAGCCCCCTTCTCAGCCTGACTGACTCATCTCATGACAGATCCATGTGACTGGTGTGAAAAGTAAGAGTCCTGCGGTGCTAAGGAAACAGGAAGTGCGGGGGCTGGGCGGGTTGGCCCTAGAGGGAGACGGGCCCCACCTTCCCTGAGGGGGCTCTTCCTTGTGTCAACAAATCCTGTTAAGCCTGAGGTGGTGACAGAGGGTCTGACTCAAGACCTCTAGGCTGTTCTGGGGTAGGCCCTGTCCTCAGACCATGTCCTGGTGCCTGGGGCTAGAGGCTGTGAGCAAGTCACAGTGTCTCAGAGAAACTGGGGCGTCTCTGAGCCTGGGAGGCAGGAACAATTTACTGGATAGGAGACAGGTGTCTCCTGCAGTTGAGTGCACAGAGAAACAGAGGCTGTCTATGAGGCGGGACTGCTTGGGCCAAGTCGGGTGGGGGTGGGCAAGAGAGCTGCCCACTGGACACGGGCTGGCTTGAGTCGGGCCCCCTCCTGCAAGACGTGCGGTTTTGACTACCCCCGTTTTCTTTTGACAGTTGGGCTGCCCACACAGTTAATCGGGGCTCTGCCAATATGCACTCCCCCAGCTCTGCCTTTCTCAGGTCTCCCCACATTCACCCACCCTTCTTGTTTTTCAGCACAACAAGGCCAGTCAGCCCGCCCATGGCGTTCCCCAACTCTCTCCTCTCTACGAGCATTTCAGCAGCCCACACCCCACATCTGCACCGGCTGATATCAACCAGAAGCAAGGTACAGACCTAGGATGGGGAGGGGCCCAAGGAGACCTAGAGCCTAGGTGCCAAGTCCCTGGCTTCTGGGACCAGGTGGCTGGGCTCCTTTTACAAATGGAGAACCTGGACAAAATCAGGCCCCCGCAAAATGCCAGAAAGAGGAACTGTGGGGCCTGAGTGTACCAGAGGGCTGGGGGAATTGGTGCCAGGTCCAAATTGGAAGGCTTCATCTTGAGGTAGGAGCCTAGTTCTGAGTGCCCTCCCACTGCCAATATGGGAGCAGGCATCTGAGCAAAGCTGGTAGCTATAAAACTTAGAGCCTTTCCCTCCCCCCAGTGAGAAAATGGAAAGTGGTGGTTGTGAGGGCTGATTCACCTCAGCCTCAGGCAAAGTCATTCTGAAATCAGCCATTGTCGACTGTGGGAAACCTGCTGACTCAAAAGTGGGAGGAGTGGGGCAGAACCCTGGCTCCACAGGCCAGGTTCCCCCAGACTAGGGGGCCTGCCCCTGCCCAGAAAGCCAGGCCAAAGCCCCCCAACACAGGCCCCGGTTGCACACTAGCGGTGGACAAAGACGGGGTGAGGCCTGGCCTCCCATTCCTGAATGACTCCTGCTCTGCCCCTGGCCAGCCAGTGTCCTTAGACAAGTTACCCAAGCCCTCTGCCCTGGGTTCCCTAGCCTGTAAATGGGGCTCTGTTATCACACTGGGATAGTCCTGAACAAAGCAGTATGTCTAGTCCTCTAGCACAGGGCGGGGAGATCTTAGCGGCCCCCCACAGGAGACTAGGAGGCAGTAACTAGCCGCTGTGTGTGGCCTCTGGGTCAGGCTGGTTCTGACTCGGCCCCTCTCCACTGCAGTTCACAGGCCTCTGCAGACTCCTGACCTCTCTGGCTTCTACTCTCTGACCTCAGGCAGCATGGGACAGCTCCCCCACACTGTGAGCTGGTGAGTGTGGGCCCAAAGGGAAGGGGGCACCTTGCACTGGTTGAACCCCATATACTTGCCCTTCTGTTTTCCTCCTCCATCCTGTGCCGAGGACCCTGCTGCCAGCTCCATAGGTACCAGGGCGGGCCAGCAGCTCTATCCATTCCCCAAGAAGCCTGACGTATTCCCTTTGGGAAGACGGGAGACTGGGCTCCTGGTCCCAGCCCTATTGCACTTGAACTCTGTCTCGGTGACTAGACTTGAATGGGAGAGCCTTGGGCTGCTCAGGGCCATGTGAGTATATAAGAGAAGGTAGGCCTGAGCAGGGAGGGGACAGCATGAATGGCCGTAAGAGAGGCTGTTGCTTCTCTGCCACCTAATGGCTAGAGGAGTACTTCCCACTAGCCTCAGTGCCTACTGCTGGCTGGTCCCTTCCCTGGCTGAGCTACTTGAGGGGCAGGGTCCCTTCTTGCCCCTGCGGTGCCTGCTGGAGCCCAAGCCCCTGGCCAGTCTGCTTAGAGAACCTATTAAGGCTGGGCCAGGAACAGCCAGCCGGGACCCCGCGTCAGTAGGCCCAACTGTGGACCAAAGGGCCTCTCTTTGGCTGGAGCTGGGGCTCAGCAGGGCAGGCTACTTGGCCTTTTGCTCAGCAACTGCACTGTGACCTGGGAAGGTCCCTAGCCTCTCTGGCCTGAGGCAATCACTTCAGGCCCACTTGCCCCATTCCACTTACCCTGTATCCATGTTCAGCTCATCCCACCATTTCTAGATTCTTTTTGGACAAAGCTCCACTCTGAATACAAATCAGGAGTACCCCCACAAGTACCCCCAGGACTGTGAGGTGTGCCAGGTAGGGGTCTGGGCACCAGAGAAGCACTGCTGACGCCGACCGATCCTCAGGTCCCCACCCTCACAGAGCTTGGTCTGCCTAGTGCACAACCCAGGCAAGAGGCCAGCCTGTTACAGGGCACTGTTAGTTTGATTGGGGCTGTAGGAGCCCAGAGGGGCACCACATCCAGCTTGGGATCTCAAGGGCTTTCAGGAGAAAGGGTCTTTAACCAAGAAGCCCTGAAAGATGACCAGGAGTTCAAGCAGGCAAAGTGAGGCAGAAGAACAGTCTCAACAGTGTCAGCAGTGGGTGCGAAGGCCCTAGGGCAGGTATCAGCCCTGTACTGACCCGGACATTTCAGGAGGCAGGCTGGAGGGGACCTGGGGCCTGCTAAGCTGGGTGCCCACAGAAGGCTGCCATTTCTACCCCTTAAGCACCAGTAGAAGCCTGTAGAGGGAAATACATGTAGCACAGGCTGCCCTCTGGTGGCAGATGCTTAAAACATACACAGCAGTGGTCCAAGCAGAGGCCAATTTGCCTCACCCTCTATGCGTCAGGCCTAAGCATTCTGGGGAAGTCCTTCCCCACATCTGGCTAGTAGCCCGACTGCTAACAGCTGTCTCTCCCAACCACAGGCCCAGCCCTCCTCTCTACCCCCTGTCCCCTTCCTGCGGATATAGACAGCACTTCCCTGCCCCCACTGCAGCCCCTGGCGCCCCCTACCCCAGGTGAGTCCCCTACCCTGCAGCCAGGCCCCTGCTTCTTGTTGCCCAGGCTTCAGTGCCCACACAGGGCCGTGCCCAGGCCCGTGCTTGCCCTGTGCTAGTCGTTTGTCCAAACGTCCGTCTGTCATTCTGCAGCCCCATGCTGCTCTGTGCCTGAGAATGAAGCCACTGGGAGTGCAAGAGGCCTAAGCCCAGGCCATGCTGTGCAGCCCAGAGCAGCCAGGGGCAGTGCACACACACGTGTGCCTGTGTTCCTGCCTCTGTGCATGTGTCAGTCTGTGTGCAGGTGTGTGGATCAGAGTTGGGGCAGGAATTCCAGAACAGGTCTGGAAGTCTGCATCCCTGCTGAGGGGAGGGCCAGTCAGGACTCTACTGGGCATCCCCTGAGCTCCACGCAAGCTGAGGCCGCATCTTTTACAGGTGTCTCCAACATCTGTCCCTTAGGGGCTGACCCCCGACCTGTGTAAGCAGCAGGGGGCAGAGTGGTATCCATAGAACAGCAAGAAAGGGAAGTGGGAGGTGTGTGTATATGTCATTGACAGACCCGTGCTAGGTGTGGAACAAGGAATTCAGCAGCCGTTCCCTGCCCTGTGGAGCGCACAGCCCAGGGCAGGAGGTACAGACACAGCACCAGTAGTCAATGGGCCACATGGGTGACGAGGAAGCCCCAAGGAGGCTCCAGCCAGACCTGATGGGTCAGGGAAAGCTCCACAAACAGGGTAACATCTCCTGAGTGAGGGGGACAAGGGGAACAGCAGTAGTTGGGGGATGGCTGGGGGTGGGAAGTGATGGGAAATGGGAAAGATGGGGCTAGAAATGTCAGCAGGGACGATCATACTGGGCTGCAGGCAGTGGGGGAGTTCCAGCCAGCAGCACTCCTAAGTGTTTATAATCTAAATGTCACTGGCTGTTGTGTGGCGTGTCCTGGAGGAGACAAGCAGGAGAGGAAGTCCACAGGGTAGTCACAGGCTCAGGAGACTTAGCTGGTGAGGGCAGGTGACGACAAGGGGACAGATTCACAAGCTCTTTAGGATTGAGTAACCACCGGAATGACATACATATAGGTTTCTGCAATGTCTGTGCAGTGTGTCGGACGCAGGTATCTGTACGCATCTCTGTATTGTGTGTAGGCCAGTGGGGCGGGGTATCTGTGACCTGTCCCTTGTGTACTCTGCAGGGCCTGCATGTGTCCAGAGGTCTGGCCTGCACACACCTGGCTCAGTGGTAACTCTTCTCTGCCTCTAGGTTCACCCACCCATCCCTGATGCTAGGTTCTGGCGTACCTGGTCACCCTGCGGCCATCCCCCACCCGGCCATTGTGCCTCCCTCAGGGAAGCAGGAGCTGCAACCCTATGATCGCAGCCTGTGAGTGAAAAAGCGCACGGTGGGGTGGGCGGGGGACAGGTGAGCAGGCCTCAGGCTCCCATCTGTCAGCCAGGATACACGTTCCTTTCACCAGGCCCCAGGCTGCTGCCTGGAAGTTCCAAGGATTGCCAGAGGAGGCTTCTGGTCAGTGTCTTGTGGCTCTTGCCACTGACCACTGTTTTCTGACCCTCAGAAGCAGGACGGAGTGGGTGGAGTAGGGAACAAGGATTTAATTTAAGCCAAGGTAGGAGGGGCTCAGAAGTTCTTACACACACTTTTTTTACTTAGCTGCAATATTCCTGTAAGGAACAATGAACTCTTCTCACCCATTTTGAGGTTGCTAAAAAAAGACTCCATGTACAAAACCCAAGCATCCACGCACTTACACACACGCTAGAGGAAGGAGGTAGTATCAGGTGGGCACTGTGGCCGCTCCCAAGTGATCTGGACATGTGCCCCTCAGGAAGACACAGGCAGAAGCCAAGGCAGAGAAGGAAGCCAAGAAGCCAACCATCAAGAAGCCGCTCAATGCCTTCATGCTGTACATGAAGGAGATGAGAGCCAAGGTCATTGCAGAGTGCACGCTCAAGGAGAGTGCTGCCATCAACCAGATCCTGGGCCGCAGGGTAAGGCCCCGGGGCAGGTGGGCTGGCAGGGGTGGCCCCTGGCTCCCTTGACCCTGGTGCAGCCCGCTGACTCCGGTGCACCCCATCTTTCCCTCTACAGTGGCACGCACTGTCGCGGGAAGAACAGGCCAAGTATTATGAGCTGGCCCGCAAGGAGAGGCAGCTGCACATGCAGCTATACCCAGGCTGGTCGGCGCGGGACAACTATGTAAGTGGGCAACAACACCACAGGGATGGACGGAGGGCCCTCAAGAGGCCATGCCCCAGGCCAGTCTCCGCAGGGAAGGCAGGACTACTCTCCCGAACACAGATAAGGGGAGGGGGGAGGGTGCAGGGTCCTAGGTTCCCATGGCTGGCTTGGAAGAGGGCCGGCAGGGAATCTGCCCCTGAAGGCAGGCCCAGGTCCCGTTTTCCACCCAGGATACACTCCACACAGGGCTGTTGCTCAGTGTTTGATTGGGCTACATGGACAGACGGGGAGGAAGAAGCCTGGAATTGACCTCCTCCATTCAAAACGGAGGCCAGCATGGGAAGGGAGGTAACCTAACTGTGATGGTTACCTAGCAAAAGTTACAGTCAAGAAACACCAGTGCCAGTGTTGTATGTCAACTGTAATTGAAAAAAATTTTAAATAAAATATTAAAAAGTACACCAGGGCTCCCAGGTAAGAAGGCACCATGTGTCTGGAATCCCAAGCAGCAGCTAGACTAGGCAGCAGGCTTCAGGTGTCCCAGCCACTAGGTCACTGGGGTACCATCGTCTGCTCCCTGATCTGAGCATCCCCCTTTGCTCCCTGCAGGGGAAGAAGAAGAGGCGGTCCAGGGAAAAGCACCAAGAATCCAACACAGGTGAGACCTTCCCTTAGCAGTAGTGGAGGCGCCGCTCCCGGCCCCCATTTCACGAGCAGCACTGTTCTGGCCCAGAGGGAGGGGCAGAGTACTCAGCCACGAACCTGCTGGGCCTGGGCCCTCTGGAAACAAGGCCTGTGTCTCCTAAGTCACATACCCAACATGTGAAACAGCTATACTAAGTCCCAGGGGAGACCAGCAGAAGCCAGTTCAGTCACAGCAGTGGTGTATGGGCCCACCACACCTACACCACCTTTGCCAGCTCTGCTCACAGCTAGCCTGTCAGAGAAACGTAGCGAGGAGCTGATTGTATGATCCAACGCTAAACCCAAACCGGGCACCTGGTTAGTTCTGAGGCGTCTGGGCTGAGGCTGAGCCAGGCCCCATGCCTAGGCCCAGTAATCACATGGCCTGCTGGCTGCTGCCCAGCAGTTTCTATCCACCCCCAAACCCGCTTTTCATGGCAGCGCCAAGTCCCCTGTGAAGACCCAGGGAGCCCACACCCTGCTGCAAGTCTTCCTGTGGGTGAATTCCTGCCCCAACTCTGATTCACATTCATGAATGACTCAGCTATGCTGCCCCCACACATGGAAGCTGGAAGCTAGGACTGGGGCAGGGCAGTTCTCGGCCCTTTTGCTAAGGTTGAGGAATGGGCTTTACTTACCATCTGAAAGTGTGTGGAACAATCTTAGTCTTAAGCCACAGCATGAGGGGATATGGGTCAGACAGATTGGGCATTGGCAAAAATGCAAAACAATACAAAACAAATAAACCCTGGATAAAATGGCAGGGAGTTGGGGAGGTGGTAGGCAGCCCTAAGGCAGAAGAGGTTGGATCCCCAGAGGCCTCCCTGGGCCCTTCTGCAGCTCCTCTGCGGGAGGGGGTCCCACAAGCCAGAGAGGAGACAGCCTGATAGGGTCCCCTCCCTTCTCATCCCCACCATTCTTCCCACTGCCTCTAATGCCCAGCTGGGTGCCCCACCTTTCCTGACACCTTGGCTCTGGGCTCTAGGGCTCCCACTGGGGCTGGCTGTGCCATGGAGAGGCTCTCTGCCTGTGGGGGCTGTGGAGTATCTGTGACTAGCTAACACTGATGTTACCTCTTCTTTCTGGGCCCTGCTCTGCCCTGCTGCCTGCCTGCTCGCCCTCTGCCCTGCTCTGCCCCTCTGGCATGGCCGTGAGCAGACCCTGGCTCGCCTAAGAAATGCCGTGCTCGCTTTGGCCTCAACCAGCAGACGGATTGGTGTGGTCCGTGCAGGTGGGTTTGTCCCCACCACCATCCTCCCTTTGCTTTAAGCTGCTTCCCTGACTCTGCACATGTTCTGCTGGGCCTGCAGCCCTCCTTTGCCCCCCGCCCTAGCCCCCAGCACATCTGCACATCGGGGAGCCTATGCCTGCTAAGAATGGGATGAACACTGAACACAGCTTGTGGGGAAGACCTCTTGGGTCTAGGTGCAAGGAGGGGGAGAGAATGTTCTAGAAGGGAAAGGCAGACTCAGGAATGTAATTCTTGTGCCTAGGTCCTCTGGTAATGGTCTGGTATTAACCAGGCCTAGTTGGTCCTTGGCAGACGAATCTCACACGCACCATTCAGGTGGCCCAAGCCTCTGTTCCCCGGCCTGTGTCATCATAGCCCACCAGCTCCATCACTTCAAGTTGGGATCCCTGCCTGAGCCCTTAAATCTAAGTAAAATAAGGTGACTACTGTAGAGAATACCCTGAAATAACGTTAGTGTCAAGTGACCATGGGACTCATCACCATCACCTGAGACCAGAGGGCTGGAGATGTAGGGAGAGAGGAACAGGCCTACTCAGGCCCTGTAGCTTTCAACCTGTGTTTCACCATACAACAGAAAAATGCTGGTGTATGTGAAAAGGTGTATCTATACCAAATGGCTAAAAGTTGCCTATTTTAGGTTCAGGCCAAGGCCTGGGGTAGGGCTAAGGCTGAGGCTACTCCAGGCAGTTAGTTCACTGACTCCAAGGAATACTTACTTGTCCAGTCCCTGAGTACCCTCCATGCTCTCTGTCCAAGGGCAAAGAGGAATTGGAGGGGAGTGCTGGAGGGAGGTGTGTGTGTGTGTATACATGATGGAAGGCAACCCTGTCCTCAGAGGAGGCCGTAATTCCACCCATGCCATGCTACTGAAACAAATTATCTAGAGAACTCTTAAGATGGTAAAAGTGGATGAGAAGAATTACTGTCCATTTCTTCTCTGCTCCTAACCTAGTTGTTCAGTCCAATAAGCCACAAGCGTTGCAGACCCTTGCATTAATGCAGATCTGAGCCCCACAAACACACGTGGAATAGACTCAAAGGCCCAGATTAGGAGATGGCTTCCCTGGAAAACAGGAGGCAGCCCACAGGCCTAGCTCCAAAAGGTCCCTATGCCACCTTGTGGCTGTGCTGGGAACGGCACCTGCCCCACGCCTGGGCCAGGCCAAGCAGAGTTGCAGTGCTGATTCCCGTCTGAAGGCTCACTAAGTCCTGGGGAGGGGACAAGAAGTTAGCTAGGCCGGTGCAAGGACAGCATTTTTTGGTTGTGGTGTATGACTATGAATTCACCCTCTGTTTACAGATAACTCTCTTCACTATTCCTAGGAGGAAAAAGAAATGCATTCGGTACTTACCCGGAGAAGGCCGCTGCCCCAGCCCCGTTCCTTCCGATGACAGTGCTCTAGGCTGCCCTGGGTCCCCAGCCCCCCAGGACTCGCCCTCATACCTCCTGCTGCCCCACTTCCCCACAGCACTACTTGCTAGCCCTGCAGAGCCAGGGCCTACGTCACCAGGTCTCTCGGCCGCTCTCAGCCTCCCAGCCCCCTGGGCCCCCACAGGTCCCCCACAATGCCCTGTAGAATACACAGGTACAGCAACAGGAATCTCGGAGACAGGAAGCCTAGCATGTACAGGACACCTGGCCTCCAGGAGCCCGCCCTCTGAGAAGAAGCGACAGAGCCCCAAAGCACGTGGAAACCGGCCAGGGGTCCTGTTGACGCCCTCCTCTCAGGGTCCAGGCTCTGGAGATTGCAGAGGCTGCACAACTTCTGCCTGAACCTGGAGCCATCAGTTCAAACTGCTCCAAGTGGTACATCAGATCTGTGTTATCTGATTAAGGGCATCCCTGTGCCTATGGCAGCCTGCATCTATTCTTACCATCTGTCTTGCTAGCCAGATGCTCCTGCCTCCCTTGCTTTTCTGCTGTAGGTCACAGATGGGCTGGACTGAACCCAGCTGTTTTCCCTACCTTGCCTCCCCATCCCCACCATTACCATATCCTCCCCATACCAGATACTTCATGGACCAAGAATGAGCTGGTTTATCAAATGTGAGCATGGTCACAACCACAAGCTCAAGACGACAATGCTTCTCTTAGGGCCTACAGAAGGCCTGTTTTACAGAAAACCAGCTGCCATTTGTAAGCTGGACCAAAGGAATCCTGCCACATTCTCAGGAGTTTGTAGGAGGAGAGGATGGAATAGGTTAAGTTTAGGCCTATCACCCTCGGCAACAGAATAACCTGACACTACTATATCAGGCAAGTGTGGGAGGTGGGGGTATCTGGCTCTAATTCAACTGACTTGGAAATAATTCCTGAGAAACCACCAAAGCCCCAGACCTGTCCCCAGTGGCTATAACCAACAGTTAAAGAAGTCATGGCCCAAAATCTGGTGTGCATCCCTCCCCGTTCTGAGAACCTTTTCCACAGCTCCATTTCCAGCTTACCCACCTCAGTGCAACCAGCTCTTGGGCAGTTGTAAGAGGGCAAACCAAACCTCACACAGCCGGCGTCTGATTTCCAGCATGAAACCAGGCCAGCTTTAGTTTCCCTATGGGACTACAGGAAGGAGGACCATTAAAACCAAAGCAAGGAGCCCAGAAAACCTCTAGTGGTAGACCGTGGGTTTTCACCACAGCCTACTTTAACCCATTTCTGAGCCAAGCTTCAACCCTGAGCCTTAAAAATCTTTTTTTTTTTTTAATTTAACTTGTTTTTTGCCGCCTTCTCACTGTATATAGCCTGAATACAAGGAAGGGCTGTCCCTGCACCCACAAACACCCCTCAACAAAATCCTTTAGTTCTTTCTTTAGCCACTGGCTTCTCAGAATCCAAAGATCATATATTGTAGTGTAGCAGGAAGTCTTGAGAAGAAAAGGACCATTGTAGTGTTCAAAATATTTTTGTATTGTCAATGCATCATCATAGAAAAACTTTAATATGAGAATAAAGATACTTTTTACTGGGTTTCTTTTTCAAAGCTTGACCCTGGGGAATAAGCTGTTTCAGCAACAGTATGACACTATCATCTCCACAACCATGAAACATGGGGTTTATTTTATTATGGTACACATGTTCTCAACACTTTCAACCTCCAGAAACCAGGGATTACTACTATCCTCATGGGGCCTGGGCCCTGCCCCAACCCCCAGAGCCAGGCTTATGCTGGGTATAAGTTCCCATGCCAAGCCTTGTTCTTACAGTCCTGCCCCCTTCCCCCCATCCTGACCTCACAACTGATGTAGGTACAGGTCAGTCTGCCCACCCCCACCGCTCATGACAATGGGTTGGAAACTGCCACCCACAGACCCTAAGATAATCAACTAGACATAGGTGTACATGACCACTAGGCTTCATTTTCTGAGGGCTGAGAGAAAAGATACACTATAAAAGTATATTCTTATGAGAAAAATGGACCAACAAGTCATAACCTGGTATAAAATCCAAAAAAGGGTGTTTTAATAGTACCCTTCCTTCCCAAAGATTAAGGTGCTTGAAGTATCTTCCTATTTTTATACAAAGCCTCTGAAGTTTGACAGATCTACAACTTCCTTTTCACACAGCAGTTTCACGTTAAAATATACTGTTACTGTTAACTTCCTGATACCTATCATGAATGTAAAAGGTGTCATAAAGCCACCTCAACAGGTCAGTCAACCATTAGGGACAAATGTTGGGCAAGAACTGTATACAACAAACAGCCAATGGGCCACCATCATGCATTGTAATTTTCACTGAGTTATATTTTTTGGATCTTGTTTTAAAATATTTATAAATAAAGTCATCTTCCAGAGTAGTGTCTATTTAAAGTAGGGCACTGGAAGTTGTAATCCCAGACTCGCTTTTTTCTGGAAGGGTGCTAGAGGAGACGAGCCATTCTCTTGACATCTGCCCCATTTAAAGAATTCCACTCTGGCTACTGGCCTAGTTGTTTCAAAAAACTACATTCTAACCAAGGCTTATGCAAGCCTAGCTTGCTGCATCTGATTTGGTGTCTTATTTAGAGTACACTGGGTACATGAACAATGCATCCTTTGTGTATGTGAGAGTAGAGAAGGGGGGCTTTGGCATCATTGTTAAAATCAAACCAGCCTTTTAAAAAACTTCAAAGAGGAAACTGAAACTCTCCAAGATCACACCAGCACATTCCTATGAGGTCACAGGGTGACTTGAGAGTGCAGCCCCCAATTCAACTTCAAATACCACCTCAGTCCCACCTCACTGCCAGCCAAGAACCAGCCCTGTCTTCTGAGACATAGCCCAACCTCCCTTACACATTCCCAGCCAACTGCAAGATTTGCTTGAAATACAGATCTTGACCCTTCCCCTGCTGCCCCCCTGTGCTCAGAGGACATTGTGAGGGCTCAGCCCAGTAAGCTACCAGGGCCTTCCCAAGTCTCCCAAGGTGTTTCCCCCTTTTACAGGAAGCCCCATGGCTAGGCTCTCTTCTGAGCTGTACCCATCTTCTGAATAGCCCAGAAGCCCAGCCAGCCATTCAGTGTACACAGTAAGCCTGGTCAGGAAAGCCACAAGTTGGGGGAAGAATGATTCTTTACATTGTTCCAAACGACTCGGTTCTTGCATGCGTTTCTAGAAAAATTGCACAGTAGGGACAAGGGTAACAAGGACTTCCCAGGCCTGTGTATCCAAGTAGAAGATTTGAGACCAAAACCTAATTCATAATATAAAAAAAGTAGAATGGGCTTTTTAAGATTGAAAATGCTGCTTTAGCTTGACTGTTTCTCAGGTCTCCAGAACTTGCTTCACTATGGGTCCTTGAACAGAGGTGGCCATGCAAGCAGACCCTAGTTCCTAGGTTGTGTGAACTCCCCCAATCCCTACTATTCCAGTCTCTTTCTCAGATCTCAAATAACCATAGGATTCTTTAACTCAGGCTCCTGGGCTCTCCACTGGTCCAGAGCAGCTAATAGATCTTCACTGGTGTACTTGTCCACAATGTGCATGGTGATCTGAGAGGAGCCCTAACTTCATGTACATAGAACATAGATGGGGTGTTCCCAAGTCAGTTCCCTAGAATAAAAGCCTAGCTCAGGTCAGAAAAGATTTTGAAGTTAAGGAGAGGGGATTGGGCAGAGTTAACTGAAAAGAGCAAATTCTGTGCCGGGGGTAGCAACTATCCTATCCCTAGCAGTCCTCATGAATTAGATCATTAACAATACAAGGTAAGGGGTATTTCAGCAACTATGAATTATAGGGGAGACAGTTAACTTGTTCAGACTGATACGTTTTTCAAGTTCACCAGGGGTTCTGGACCATGGACCAGGGCTTCCTTTTTCATTGTGTTCTCTCATTCCTTTATCTGAAGTCTTGTTCTTTCAAGCATGTGCAATTAATGGGGGGGGGGGGG